GTCCTTGAAGCCTCTGGAAAGGAGAACAATTAATGAGATAACGAGAAACTGACGAAACGAGTTGTTTATTTTTAACAGCTGTTTCCCAGAACACTAGTTTTCGCACGTTAAAAATATCATGAAATGCTACGAAAGTAAATATGACTCTATATTAAATACGGAATAATTATAAACTGAAATTTTACATTTACAACAAGTACAGTACCCCGCCAACCCATTAGAAACAGGGGAAATATATGTAAAAATTTACGAATAACATTCTTGGGCAGTTTGCTTGGCGAAAAATTTGAATTTTTTCCACTGCCTAAGCATTAAGTAGACTATGCACTACATGTTACCATGCGTCAAATATTAAAAAAAATGTACCGTTGCAATAAGCGGGACTTAAATACGAAATTGTATTGAAATATTTACTTCATTTGGAGTTAGCATTTGTGATTTCTGACTCATCAGAGATAGATTGAGTGGCGTAGTGGAAGGAACCGATTTATTTTATAAGTTTTTGACTTTTATTTCAGAGATTCCAGAGTTTTATGTATTAGGTAAGTATTTTTTTTTTTAAGTTTTCTGAAGCATTATAATATTATATAAGCAATAAAAATGTACTTTTCAGGAAATAGGTAAAAAATCGGGAATTTCAAAGAAATCCCAAAGTGCTATATAAATATAAAAGTACATCCTACAGAAAAATAATTTAAAAAAATCGTAGTGAGTGTACCTACTGTTACTAAAGTAGCGAAAATTGTGCACACATAATATCAAATATTACACCGAAAGTCCCCCATCAAAAGTTATGCTGCTATTTAACATGACTTTCTCCTTAACAATGATTAACTTTAACGACGAAGGCCGGCTAGAAGTAATGACAGAAACCATTCAATGTGTGCGTCGTAGACCGTGTGAACGTTATGTAGAGAACTGCATTCAAAAAACGTTAGAATATGCCCCCAACGTAATGATTTAGAACTCCATATTGGTGAAAGGTCCTAGACTAATTTATTTTGTTGAGGGAACGATCACTAGTGAGCACTACACCAATGTACTTCAAGATGGTTTTGTATCATATTTGGTAACACTGAACCCTTCAGCAGCCCAGTACACTTATACGTCGCTGAGATGCCTTCTACACCTCAAGACGAACGACTGATATCCTTCACAACTTGGATATCAATATATTACCTTAGGCGTGCAAAGCACCCGACCTAAACTATTGAACGTTCCTTAAATCGAAGGTATATTCCTGAAGAAATCCCAAAATATCCCCACTCAAAGATGACATAAAGGATGTGTGCCTGAATGATATATGTAGATTTAAAAATAATGATAATATTTGTTTGAAGAGTATGCCTCAAATAATGAAGGCAGTTAAAAAAATAAAGGTTTGTCAACCAAATACTAAAAAAATTTAAGTTTTTCTTAATTTTATGAAAATATGATATTTCAAATAAATATGATAAAAAAAAATGCATTCACATATCCTAATAACTTTTGGTTTATTTGACTCTGAACGCAAAACTATATGAATGATTGTCCCTGTTTCTAATGGTTTGGCGGGGCACTGTATGCAACACGCAGCTTGGAAAAGTACACTAGAAGCAAGGAAAACTGGACAATGGGGTTCACCAATCGAAATCGTCGAACGACAAATCGAAAATGGACTCAACGGATGGACCATCTGAATTTTCTGAATTTTTCTTTAAAAAAGTAGGTAGTCTTGGAATGGATCACCCTCTATAATTTATATTTGATAAAGGGGTGCCACCCGATGATCCTTTTAATAACACCCAGTAATACCTCTATGGAAATAATATCAAATTTAAGCATTATTAAGCAAATATGATGCTATAGCTATTTATTGGGTTTCCAAAAGGGATTGTATCATTTCTAAGTGTCATTTCTACCATTCTTAACGTGGCATGATCTGCAATTTTTATACCCAAAACAAGGTATATAATGTTTGCCACGAAGTTTGTAACACCCAGAAGGAAGCGTCGGAGATCCTATAAAGTACATATATATAAATGATAAGTATGTTGAGCTGAATCGATTTAGGCATGTCCGTCTGTCTGTCTGTCTGTCCGTCTGTATATATACGAACTAGTATCATCTCGACATTTTGCAAACGTCATTTTCTCTTCAAGAAGCTACTCATTTGTCGGAACTGCCGATATCGGACCAATATAACATATAGCTACCATACAAACCGGACGTTAGGAAACAAGGGCTTGTATGGAAAACTTTCACATTTGACGTCGTATCTTCACGAAATTTGACATGTAGTATCCATTAAGGAAATAATGTAAACCCCGAAAAAAATTTTCAGGTCGTATTACTATAGCATATAGCTTCCATACAAACTGAACGCATAGTTACTAAAAGAAATGCACCTGTGAAGAGTATATTAGCTTCGGTGCAGCCGAAGTTAACGTTATTTCTTGTTTTTACTGTATTGAGAAATGTTTACAATTTCAACATGATATACACAAGAGCAGGGTTTCAAGTTATTTAATTTTATTGTCAAAAAAATATTAATAAATAATTAAGAAAATCGTCTTTTCCGATTAGACTCATTGAGTGGTGCGGTAAATAAACAAAACTGTCGATTCGGTCCCAAAAAAATTCACAAATTTTCATGAACAGCCATTACATTCCCAAGTTATCAGTTTGGTGTGGTTTTTGGTCTGGTGGCATCATCTTTCCGTACTTCCTACGAAGGGAAGCTGGTTATAAAGTAGAGATCACTACAGCCAACTTTTATAGCCGCAATTGGAAGAAGTTGATTTTGAAAATATCCACAAAAACCGAATTATTGCGAGACAAGTTTTGAGATTCAATTTTTTCCAGAAATTGTGACATTGAAGGGCTTCCAAGTAGTTGTGATTTAATTATTAGTCTACTTCTTGTGGGGTTATATGAGTCATTAGTCTTTAGAAATAATTTAGACTCTCTTTAAGCTGTGGAACTCAATTGGGGTATTCACAACCTGTCTTAAATCGTAAAGTCGTAAAATTTTAAATTTTTACACTTGTTTAAAAAAAAATGTTTTTGGATTACATACAAAAATGAGTTTACACATTTACAATTCTCAATACTATGTTTTCGAATCGTTATAACTTATAACTTTAAGAGACATGTGAAAACCCTAACTTTTATTTAAACAAGTGTAAAAATTTAAAATTTTACGACTTTACGATGCTTTAAGAACGGTTGTGAACGCCCCAAATATTAAACAATTCATGTTATACGATTTGATTTAGTGAAAAAAGGACTCGAAAATTTGATTCATCGAATTCGTTCCTGCAAAAGAAGTCGTGGAGGCCACTTGAATGATGTTATTTTCAGAAATTGATTGTTTCGATTGTGATTGTTTGTAAATGACCGAAAGTAAACTGAAACTGCTAGAATTTTAAGGGTGAAGCGTTTGATATCATTACTATATAATAAGAGGCCATGAGATCAAAACAATTAACCCAATCCAACGGCTGGTCATTTTATTTATAAATATATGTTTTACGATTTTAAAATTTGTATCGAAAATTCACGGAAAATTATGTATTTTTATTTTTACTTTTAAATATTTTGCTTACAAATCTAGCAATATTAGTTTTCAATTTGGAAATTTGGTTTAAAAAAAAAAACCTATTCAACGGAAGTCGTACAAGTTGTCTTTAATAGGTTATTTAATGTGAATTAAATGCTTCAAGTAGTGATTTTTACTTTTTGTAAAAGTGACAACTCGAACATAAAAATATTCTGTTATACTTACATGTCTAAGCAAATATTATATCTAAAAATTACTGATTATTCAACTGTTTTTGAAGATGAATTAAAATCATAGTCTACGGGAAGTGTACAAGTACTTGGATACATATTTATATATAAGAACATATGTATGTGTAGCCAAAATTATGAATATTATATTAACACAGTTTGATGTGCTGAACACAATGCTCGCGACAGACTGCAGCAGCACGACAGCGAACTGAAAATGACGTTGTGAAACTTTCTACATGAACATTTCTGAGAAGGCAGCAACATAACAATGGCTGGCATGTACACAAGACAACATAGCTGTCCATTTTGCATGTACACAATTTCGTTGTGGCCATACTAATACCTTGCACTTCAATTAAACTTTGATATTTTGTTCAAAGTGAAATTGACAGATGCCTTTCACATTTGATAACATATATTCACGAAATTTGGTACAGATTATTTTCTAAGACAACAATGTAATCTCCGAAGAAATTCTTCAGATCGAATTACTATAGCATATAGCTGCCATACAAACTGAATGGTCGGAGTCAAATGCTTGCATGGGAAACTTCCTCATTTGACGTCTATCTTCACGAAATTTGGCATGGATTACTGCTTAAAGTAACAATGTAATCTCCAAAAAAAATTGTTCAGACTGAAATTACTATAGCATATAGATTCCATACAAACTGAACACAAAGTTGCTAACAGAAATGCACCTGTGACGGGTATTTAGCTTCGGTGCAACCGAAGTTAACGTTTTTTCTGGTTTATAGAACATTAACAGTTCTTTTCGTCCTTGTTTGACTTTCATAGGAACAATAACAAATATCGAAAGATCATCAACTTCATCATATTGCTATACTGATTACTGTCTGCTATTTGCTAAATAGCAAGTGTGACACTACATGATAAAACTGTAAGAATGTTAAATTAAAAAATAAAATAAACAAACATTTTTTTATGAGCTTTTAATACATTAGTATGGATGTACAGTATGTGCATGTTCCCCATTTTATGAAAACTAACCTAAAATAGCTAAAGTATAATACTTTTCAAGGTATCGCGAGCAAGTACAATTTTATTATTTATTTCTAAAAATTAAGTAAACAACAAGACCATGTGTTAAATGTAAAACATGAATGTAAATATTTTCTTAGAGTATTTGTGCGCGCATTTAGTGCTTTGGAGAGGGCTTACTGCAAGGTGACCAGATGGCTCTCTTTGCCGTGCATTCTGATGAGCTTTCATTTTACACTAAGAACGTTGGAGTTGCTCAGTTTATATTTGTAATAAAAGTAAGCGTTGCATACAAAGCTTTAAAGATGAAGTGATATGTATCATAGCATATAAAAAAATTGTAACTGAGTATTAGTGGACTAATAATAATTTTTGAACAAAATGTTTATTATTTCAAAACTTTATTTCTCTATTTGATTTAAGAAAGTTTTTTTAAAAGTTATATAAACACAAGGCGATTAAATTATAGAAATTATCTTTTGTAAGCAGAGGCGGCTCTAGAATTTTAAAATGTTCGGCCTTATGAAAACTTACTGTTATTTGTTAAAAAATTTTATAAAAGCAAAGGTTGATGAAATTTGGAATATGTTTATTGATGTTTATTTAAACTATTTGCCCATAATATTCATTTCTAGACAAGAAAATGAATGATAAGCTTGAATAATATTAGCAAATAGTTTGAATGAAGTTATTGTGTAAAATTACGATGATCTTCGAAAACGATAATATAACGAATAAGTATTATACTTAGTATACGTAATTCAGATATAAATGTAAATAAACATCGAAATTTGATTTCCCCGGAACGGACTCGGACCTCAAGGTGATTCAAGCCCGCGCACTGCCCTATGCATTCAACACTGTTTGAAATGCTTTTGTTTCGAAACATTTTCTCTCACATTTTCGGTAATTAATTGTTGGAAATTTGATATTACATTTCTTGAAAGTGCTGCCAAACGTCTTAGAGGCTGATATAAATATTTATTCAAGTGAAATATTTACTCATTTTATTATTACTACTTAGAAAATCGCTTGTTAAAGTGCCTATATTTAAATATTTTTTTGTTTCCATGTCTGAGGCGCTTCAAATTTCTCGAAAATATTCTTTCAGTATGCTAACACACACACATACCATACATATATATTATACATATATAGTATAATTCACTATGTACATACTTGTATATCGACAAAGTGATTGTGCACTGAGCCTCTGCTCTGCATATCGTGTGGTGAGTGTTAAAAGTCCACAACCGGACGCCGTGTGTGCCAAGTGTCGTAGTGATAAGAAAAACCTTTTAACTGGTCACTCTAAATTGAGGCAGCAATACTTTTAATCGACGTTTAATCAAGTGCGCGAACGGTGTGGAGCGCACCAGAGCTGTTGCGAGCATTGGCGAGTGGAGTGGGTGCCTCTCTACGCTCTAGCTCGTGTGAGTTTGATTGTATTACAGCTACAGCTGAGCCAAATTTGATAAGCGACAATAGCGGTCGGTTTGCTTTGGAAAGCTACGTGAAAGTTGGCATTTATGGCAAATACGAGTAAAACGATTGTTCCTTTGCGTGTATGTGTGTGTGTGTGTGAGCGAATTATTATACGCTCATTAAGTTCGCACAATAATTTAAAATAGCATTTCGAACTCAACTCATTTGTAGCCGATTAAGTGAGCGCATTTCTTTTCAACGAAAAGAACAATGTGAAGTGGTACATTCTACAATTTATACACAGTTCTATTATGCATATATTATATACAAATTTGGAAAAAACAGAGAATCATCAACAGAAATGAGTGAGTAATGCCACTTCGCCGGGCAGTTGCCGTCGAGCGTTTCATAAGTGCGGCCGAGTGTGTCCGGCTGTGCCGTTTCATTTGTTGTTCGCTGCGAAGTGCGAAAGATACAAGTGTTCCGAAATTTGATAAGACTGTTGAACGATACTCGCATAAACATACAAAAAATATTTCAACAAAAATATTGCAGATAAACGAAACATACCAACAATAGCATACGCCAAACGGAAAACAAGCAGTATATGAAATTGTTTTTGTATTTGCTGAAGCACGAAATAACAGTTGTATAAATATTTTCCAAATATTTTGTGTAAACAAAATTCGTATTATTAGTGTAGACAGCCATATATTCATCCAGTCAAAAAGTAAGCTCAAATAAGCAAAGTGTTCGCTTGCAACAGGCACGTTTCCGGACGCAGTAATAACGCAGCAGTTTATGCCACAGTCATACACAGAAAATGTTCTCTACATCCGGCTACGATCGACTCTATGTCCGCAGCTCTTCCGGTTTAGCCAAATTGCTCTGTATGGTAAGCGCGCGCAACGCCGCTATGATTCAGTAAATTTTTGCAATATGAATTTTTATTATATTTTTCAACTCTTTACTTCATCTCTTAGCTATGTGCCGTGGCTGGGATCACATGCATTGCTGTTAGCTTGGCGCCAGTGACGAATCTGCGCGGCCTCGTCTACATGTGTGTCATGGCGTGCGCCTGCCTTGGCAGTGCGCTGGTGTTTTTAAACAATTTTTGTGAAATGCGTTTTTGTAGGCGGCACTTTTGCAATGCAACCAGGTTCGAGCTGTATATTCATGCCACACTCGCCGTTCTGTGCTTTCTTGCCTCATCCGCCGCGCTGACGTTGGCGCTGGTGACCTATTCCATTGCAGCGGTGCGTATACACATACACATACATGCATATGATGACTAATAATTATGCATGCTTTTGCTCCACAGTTTTTCGGCTATGTTGCATTCTGCTTGTACGCCTTGGAGGCCTGGTTCAACTATAAGCGTTACCGCCAGCGTGATATGAGCACACAGACGTAGTAGTGTGTACATGAAGGTTGTTGCAGATAATAGTATTTTCGCTGTTTAGGAAATATTGCATAAATGTTTGTGGATATTAGCCATGCCGATGTCACTTGCCTGCCTCTAATGCACAGTGTTCCAAAATAATGTTTAGTAAACAGTATGTAATATTAGCTAATAATCAATATGTAACATTAGTATAAGTAACTTTAACATATTTGTCGTGTTATAAGTTGCACTTAAGCAGTAATAACTTTGACTCAGAAGTCAAACCTGATGTGGGTCTTCAAATACATATCAACAAAAATACTCTTGTACAGTCAGATGACTTTAAAGCGTTTAAGTTTGGATTGCAAGTACTTATAGACTTATATTCATGTGTTTATCAAGAAACATATATATTGTATTACATATGTGCAAAAAACAAAGTATAAATGGACTATGTGCTGCCCATATAATGAAATATACTAAGCATGCCTTTGAAGTGGCTCGAGCTTGTTGAAATTTATATCCAATCAAATATAGTTGAAGATTTTCAATTTGTATTAAAATACTTCGGAATTATAAAAGCCTTGTAAAACTATAAAATTCTCTGTTTTAAATATTAATTTATATCTGTTGGCCAAGTACTATTATTTTTTACAGCTTCAAGAGATTCCACCTTGTTATCTTCAAGTGTTCTGCAATCGCTGAGCGTTTCAGGTTGAATTGAGATGTTTTAACTATAGTGATAATTAACTATGTAGATTTAAATAAATTTTTGTCATTTACATACCTATTAATACGTTACATTAGTAATATTATATTATTACAACGCTGCTTAAAGGGTTAAGGTAAGAAAAGACAACATATTTATTTACGTTCCCTCCCACTTACTAAACAAAACATGGAATGCAGAGAGAATTGATGCTGGGGGGCAACCTTTGTCATGCCATCAATGTTTTAAGTTTTTCAAGGCAAATTAATCGGTAATAACCGATCAAGGCACATTTTCAACAAAACTTTCCATAATTTTACAGACGAAGCAAAAACGATATCATAGAAATCACTCACTTTTAGGTAACGACATAGTATTCTCTAAATGAATGAAACTTTTATGCATTTCAACTTAGTTTCCAAATTTCATTTTGGTGCATTTGAAAGGGAAAATTGCATGCAGCGAAGTGAACAATACAATTCTCATTTGATTGTAGACCGTAGGGGTCAAGGACTAAGCCCATTAGTCGTTAACGTAGCTTCCCTTTCCATGTTAATAGGATTTTGAATCAGCTGTTCGAAACAGGCACAAACACTGACCATGAGACGTAAAAACGTTACGCTCAATAATGTTCGTAAATGTAGATTAGCTTGGATTCCTGTCGTGATCTTAAGTTAACTTATGTGAATTCGGTTTAATACATAGTTTGGCAAATCAAAATAATATTCCTTCCTTAAAGAGTTGTATATAGTTAGATGGACGAAAGAAGCGAATTTTTCAGAATTTTTTCTGAGAACATTTTTAAATTTATTGATCGAAAAAGGTGTGCATATTATGGTGTCTTTTAACTGTATTTTAAGACTTAGTATTAGTAAAAATATTTATATGTAAAGGAACTACAGCTGATCTCCGATAGCTCATCTCAAAAAAGAAGTTTTGCGGTGATCACTATAGCTTTGAAGTGGATCCTCTGATATTAAATAAAAATAAACATATTTCGTTGGAGTAATGTTAAATCTAGTAAATAATCGAAGGACAAAGCAAAACAAAATGGCGGTTTCTAAAAAATCGAATTTTGACCAAAATTTGGAACTTAAATTGTTTATAAAAAAATATTTATGGGTGCAAAAAATCTTCGATTAACTGCTGAAACATATATTTTAGAAGCTGGTGTTAAAATTTGAGACTAAACGTTTAGCCGTTTTCCAGTAAATTTGGTCGCCGGCTTTGTAAATACCATTTTGAGAAAAGCGCGTTTAAAGCTTGGCCTTGTACTTCCAAGTACTCTGAAACTTTTCAAATTTGCGTGTGACTTCGAAAAGATTCACCATAACGATTTGAAATTTATGACCATTAAGAAAAAAAATAATTTTTTTTTTTTGCAAAATTCTAACTGTATATAACCCCTTAAATATATGTAAAAATAAAATAATTTTATAAAGAAGATTTGTTTACTTTTTTCCACTGAAACATTAACACATTGTCAGCTAAAGATCTTAAGGTTCTATACTAATGTAGCGCATGAGAAATTAGGCGATTTTCATGAATTTTTTGTAAGAGAAAGTGCGCAATTGAATATTTAGAACTTCTTTGAGTGTAATAAATTATATTTGCAGCTATATTTTAAGATTTTCTGTTACAAAAATGTTGAAAAATAGCGGAGTTATGGGCCCCAACTGCTAACACGATTCCCACCGAATGTGTGGCTCAAAAAGTTCGAAAAGGTGATTAAATTCAAAGATATTTCATATACAATGAGCTACGATTTTTGAAAAATATCAAAAATTAGCAAAGTAGTCAAAAATGTTTTTTTTTTAATGCCAAATTGCCAATTTTCAACCAATCAAAAAGATCAAATGTATTCAACAATACTAATTTTTAATTTAAAATCGATTAGTTGATTCTCGTTGAGTTATGATGTCAGAAATTTTGAAAAATGACGTTTCGAGAAAAACAAGTTTAAAGTTTCACTCATATGTATATGATTATGATTATACCTGCGACCGGTCGCTCTTTAGAACGCCACCATCCAAAAACTATTGAAGATACAACCTTGCCGATTTCACACGATATTTTTGGAGATAAAAATGTATATATATATTTTTTTTATAAAATTGAGTTTTTTGAAGTGTCACATTGGTATAACCCCTTTTATCAAACCTGTCTAAAACTATCTCTATATCATTAGAAGTGAAGTTTTTTTTTTCATTTATTCGATACGTTGAACAAAATAGTATTTACTGAGGATATAAAATGTATTTCTCGTAAGTAAAATAAATTTTATTAATCCAAATAACAATATTTTCATAAATAGATGATTTCAGTTAATAAATATAAGGAAATTACAACGTCTGAGTACAACGGAACGCACTGCTGTGATACTTGAAGGCAAAATTAACAAGAGTATCTTAATTTATTAAAGTCATGATAGTATTGAATTGGCGAGGTTTTTATCCTTCATCAGGACAACGCTATCATTCATAGCAACGTGAGGTTGGTGGAATGATCCCCACAAGCACCGACCTTTCCCCCCATTGAAAATATAATATATGGGCGTGATTAAAGACGATGGTATGGTTGAGAATGCCTTGGAGTTTGAAGTAAAGAATATATATACATTATCTTTCATTGCTGCAGCGCTTGACGAAGTTTCATGAAATAAAGGCGGTCAACGCAGTTACTAATTTACATGTTACTCAATTTTGATTCATTACATTTCCCTTAATAGGTAAAGTGTCACTGACCAGCTGGTTGATGTCCACGTTAGAGTGAATTCTGACATCACCGCCGTACAAGAAATGCGATGAATGGAACAAGGACTGAGGCGAGTAGGCATTGTGGCATTTACTACAGTGGCCACATAAAAGAGCGCAAGATTGATGTGGGATTCGTGGCACCGTGGGAGAGACATACCATCGCCGAGTACTATCATTCACTCGTGTGGATGAACGTCTGGCCCAAATCCGCATCAAAATGATGTTCTTCAACATATTGCTGGTTTGCGCCCACGCTCCGACGGAAGAGAATTACGATGTGAGCAAAGATGCCTTCTGCCCCGTCATGATGTCAAAATCCTGCTTGGCGACTTTAACGCCAGGGTGGGCAAGGAAGGTCGGTCAGTAAATTCAGCCTCCACGAGGAAACATCCCCAAATGGGTTGAGGCTGATCGACTTCGCCGGGGCCCGAAATATGGTTATCTGTAGTACTAGATTCCAGCATAAGAAGATATATCAAGCTACCTGGCTGTCTCCGGATCGAAAAACCACCAATCAGGTCGATCATGATATGATAGACGGACACGTCTCCAGTGTTCACTTGTCTCTGTGCAGCAAAAAACGCACGTCAACAAACACAAAGAACGTTCGCCGTCCAGCTACCGCAATCACAACAGACAGCCGAACGATTTTTCACTCGACTTGCACTCCTGCTCTCTGAGAGCACTCGTATAAGCGAACTGTGAGGCGGCATTTCAAACTTCTTACGTACATCAGCAACTGAGACTATTGGTTTTCGGAAAATGCAAAAAAACAGCAGGCGAACCCTATTCCCCAATCGACAACTATGGAGCAGACGTTCCATTGCCCGACCAGGAAGAAGTTCGAATAGCAATTGCTCGCCTGAAGAACAACAAAGCGGCGGGGGCCGATGGATTGCCGGCCGAGCTATTCAAACACGGCGGCGAAGAGCTGTTAAGGAGAATGCATCAGCTTCTTTGTAAAATATGGTCGGACGAAAGCATGCGCAACGATTGGAATTTAAGTGTGCTATGCCCAATCCACAAAAAAGGAGACCACACAGTCTGCAGCAACTACCGTGCGATAAGCCTCCTCACCATCGCGTATAAGGTTCTATCGAGTGTGCTGTGTGAAAGATTAAAGAATACCGACAACAAACTGATTGGACCTTATCAATGTGGCTTTAGACCTGGCATATCAACAACCGACCGAGATATTTACCATGCGCTAAATTTTGGAAAAGACCCGTGAAATGAGAATAGACACACACCACCTCTTCGTGCGACTTCTTCAACCTGCTGCTGGAGCAAATCATTCGAGCTGCGGAACTCAATGGGGAAGGTACAATCTTTTATAAGAGTGTACATCTGCTACCGTGTACCGATGATATTGACATTATCGACCTCAACACCCGCGCCGTTAGTTCTGCTTCCTCCAGACTGGATAAAGAAACAAAGCAAATGGGTTTGGCAGTGAGCGAGGATAAGACGAAATATCTCCTGTCATCAAACAAACAGTCGTCGCACTCGCGACTAGGCTCACACGTCACTGTTGACAGTCATAACTTTGAAGTCGTAGATAATTTCGTATCTCTCTCTTGCCAACAGGTGTTACTTCGGACTGAGTAGGCAATTGAAATGTAAAGTCCTCTCTCAATGAACAAAAACCAAACTCTATAAGTCATTCATAATTACCGTCCTGCTACATAGTACAGAGGCTTGGACGATGAATACATTTGATGAGTCGACGTTGGGGCGTAGAGATAATTTGTGAGATTTATGGTTATTTGCGCGTTGGTCACGGCGAATATCGCATTCAATAGAACGATGAGTTGTATGAGATATACGACGACATTGACATAATTCAGCGAATTAAAAGACTACGCTGGCTTGCTCATGTTGTCCGAATGGACGAATACACTCTAGCTCTGAAAGTATTCGAGGCAGTACCCGCCGGGGAAAGCAGAGGAAGAGGAAGGCCTGCACACCGTTGCAAAGACCAGGTGGAGAAACTTCGCTAGGCGCTAGCTAACAGGAGAAATGACTGACGCTGTTGTTAGCTCGGCTATAATCGCATAAGCGGTGTCTACGTCAATACAGAAGAAGAAGAATGTTTCAACGGCGGAGCTAAGAGTCGCAATGAGACTCTTCCATAT